CCACGGGGAGTGCGGGGGCGGGGGGCGTGTAAATGAATGGCACCTTGGAAGATAAACTCCATCCCGGGTGAGGGGCCCCAAACCAGACTGTTGGTGGACTGAGCCCATAGCTTGGGAGTATTCAGGGGGACCTGCCAGTCCCGAGATCATCCCTGCTGGGTATCTGCATGAAAAGGGGGAGGTTTAGCTGCCTCTGCTGCCTTTGACTGTGAGAAGCAAGGAGGGGTTGCTTCCCTCCCTACCTCATCCACCCCACATACCTTGGCCTTATTGCGAGCCACGCAGTCCTGCAAGGTCAAGGCACTGTATTGATGGCCAACTCCTGGGGCCAGACTTCCAGGACACCCACCACTGATAGGAGAAGGCACTTCTTCCCGGGTCTACATAAGCCTGTTGGTCTGGAGTGGAAGTTAGATGGGGTGGGAGAAAGTTCAGATTCCAGGAAGCCACTTTTTATTTGACGTAAAGTGTCTGCAGGAAAAAGTACTTAGTAGCAAAGTGTACAGCTTTTGATTGATTGGCCTTCCTTATAGAGAAGTGCTGAGGGTGTGTCTTCCTTTTGGTTCTGTGCCATTTACCTGGTAGGGAAAGGGTGGCAGGAATAGCAAGGAGAAAGCAGGTCTCCCTTAAGCCATGCAGAGAGAGCACACACTGCATCAAAACAGGTGAGGCAGAGAATAAAATATACCTTTGAACCTGTCAACAATTTAAAAACAGCAAGGAGCCACCTTATAACACGATTTCTGGTAAGAGTGGAATTGAGTGTAAGAGGGATTCTTTAATGGAGTGTTGGGGTGGCCCTGCCTCCTGGCTCTCCAGGCAGCTCCAAGAAGACAGCACCAAGTGTGCATCTGCCCATAGGCTCATGTGCTGCTCTCAAAGACTGGGCAGAGCTGCCTGCCTCAGTGTGGCAGTGTAAATTCCCAGACAGAAGGTAAAGTGAGCCTAGCCCTGGAGGTGTTTGGGATTCCAACGCCCACCTCTCCTACCAAGCTGGGAAAGTTTTTAAGAGATTCACTCAGCTTTGTGAATTTGTGAGGGAAGCCTTGAGTTCCAGTCAGAATCCTCTTCCCTTAAAAGTAAGAGTCGGGGCTCATTTCTTTAGCTTTGGCCTTTGCTTTTAGGATTCTGACACCTGAAAATTTTTGAATAGGTAATAAACAACAACACAAAAACAGAAGGACAACAAGGGACATGATTTTCATTGTTTCTGAAAGGGGGTTTAAAGCTCTCTGAGGGATATACTTAGGGTTGAGAAAGCTGATGTTGGAAAACATAGTCTTCTACTGGACCTCCTGTATGTCTTGTCTTTTCTCACTCTGCTTACAGAGCTTTCGTTAGAGATGGCAAACTGAAGACCGGGAGCAGACAGTGCCAAAAGGGAACAACCAGAGTCAGTCAGTCTCTCTCTCTCCCTCCCTCTCTCATTATGCGCACACATGGATTTGTAAATCAAGTGTTGCTATAATCATTCTTAAAAATTCAGATCTGGTCTTGAAAGAAAGACCAAGTCAAGTACATTTTGAAAACAGGGAATTATCCTTTTGTTATCTTTTCTTAATCCTTCACCTCACATAAGACATTTGTTGAGGCTGGATGTAGAGACCATTCTTTGTAAGTCTACATAGCTTCTGTTCCCAGAAGACTTTTGGCTTCTGTTTCACTGAAACTAAACAGGTGTCTTTGGCATGCAACTAAAGTTTAGACTTCTTTTCAGACAACTGGCAGTAGAACTAGAAGGGAATTTAAGAGGCCCTGGTGTCCATCACCCATCCTCTGAGCAGGCAAAATTTGAGAATGAACAGTCCAAGCAGTTGCATCCTCCATTCTCCTCCCTGGGGTCAATATATTTGCTCACAGGTGCAGGTGTGGGTGTGTCCAAACACCAGGCGAGTGTTGGTCATTTTCTAGTACAGAGGAATAAGTATTGCCTTCCTGGAAAGACTCACCCTACCTCCTGGGGCCTTGCTGCAACACGGTAGGGCTGGTCCTCTGAGACTCTCCGTGGTTCACTGTGCTCCCTGATTTGCTGACAGAATTCATGGTCAGCGTTCCAGCTTTTGTAGCTATCAGTTCAAAACTGGAGATTTGCTGGAATAGAAGTCTCCCATTAATACTTTAAGCAGACGGCCATGTTGTGGACTGCTTTGGTTCCTGACTCCTAAATTTCCTTCTGGGATAGTTTTGTAGAAACTGAGTGGAAGATTTTTTTTTTTTTCTAGCTAACCTGAAAGGCTGTGATTAAGGATGAAGGGAAAGAAAACTAGATGATTCAGTGGGTCTCATTTTTCTATGTCGTTTATAATCTAAATAGGAATATTCCTGGGGTTTCAATTTTACGTTTCTGTACTTAACCATGATACTTGGGAGATCCTTTTTCTTTTCCCAAAGGCCTTGAGCTCTGTAATAAATATTTAGTGTCTAAAAAAAATTCTTATTTGAGGCTGAGATATATAGAAAGGATACATAGTCTTTTTTTAAAAGCATGAAAAAGTATTTTAGTAAGTGTACTCAAATTTTATCTACTGAGATGCATGTAGTAGGTAAATGAAGGAACAAGAAAAAGAAAAGACCTAGCTAGTTCATTTTTTAACTATAAAAATTACAGGCCAGGTGCAGTGGCTCCACACCAGTAATTCCAGCACTTTGGGAGGCCGAGGCGAGAGGATTGCCTGAGCCTAGGGGTTTGACAACAGCCTGGGCAACTTGGCGAGACCTCATCTCTACAATAAATTAAAAAAATTAGCTGGGCCCACGTGGTGGTGCACGCCTGTAGTTGCAGTTACATGGAAGGCTGAGGCAGAAGGATTGCTTAAGCCCAGCAGGTTGAAGCTGTGGTAGCCGTGATCGTGTCACTGCACTCCAGCCTGGGCGACAGAGTGAGACTCTGATTTAAAAAATAAAAAATACAGCAAATGGGTTTGAGCTACTTCTTTCGTGCTGCATTTGCCCTTATCCTGCACATGCAAAGACCTGATTGGAAGCAGCTGAAAGGATAAACTGAGTAGAGGTGGGCCAGTGCTGAGGCCGAGGCCATGGGAATAATGCAAGATTGCAACAAGGAAGAAAGTAGAAAGAAGTAAAGTTTACTATTCACCTTTCACAGATTGGAAAGGGGACTGACACTCAGAGGCAAGTGTGGCATCAAAGGGCCAAGACATGGGTATATTTAAGGCCCTTAAGGTAAGAGGGTTTTGGCTGGGAGGAGTGTCCAGGCCTGCAGGTCTTCGATGTTGGTTGCAGCCACTGGAGTCTTAGATCTTGGAGATGCCAGATATTAGCATCTCATGCCGTCAGGTGGTGGGCTAGATAGGAGGAGAAGAGGGGAGGAGGATTTTCCTGCAAGAGACTTGTCAGAAATTTGCAATCCATAAACTGCTCAGCAAAAAGGTGGTCTATTATCTTTGTCATTTCTTTGACTCTGTTCTCTTGCATCTGATGGAAATTTGCCCAGAGTGTGGGGTAGGCTGCCTTTTGGCCTGCAGTAAAATGTAATTTTAAAATGTTTGAACGCTTCCTAAAACCTGTCTGTTGGAAATCTATCTATCTATGTCTAACCTGTGCTAGATTCAGAGTGTGTCAGGGGTAAAGTCTAAGTAAAAATGACTATGCTGAGGCAAAAAGACTATGCTAAACTAAGTTTATTCTGGGTTTCTGTAGGTACCTCCTTTCAGCAGCAATATGAGGCCGACATCCCAAACTTTCAACAACTTTCTACAGAAGGACCTTGTTTCAAGCCTAGCACCCCAGTTGTGCCCTCAGGGCCTGGGCGCCATCAGCTAACTTTGGCCTAGGGCTAAGACACCCCCCCACAATAACCTAGCCCCTTTCTGCGTTGTGTAATGTTTCCGGGGGCCTAACATAATGGAGGCCTTGCTCTAAGGTCTTCCCATTGAGTTCCCCATCCTGTTTTGTTCCCATCTTTGTGTGGATGCCGCTGGAAAGGCTCTAAGTGCCACGTTCTGAGGAAGGGCATAGGTCAGGGCTCTCACCTGGTATCCGTGATGTTTTGGAGTGCCCTGAGCTTAGAGGAAAAGTTTGGAGTCTATGCATCTCCTTCTGGAGGGGAAGTATGTGACCACTACCAGCTTCTCCAAAACATCTCCCCTCAATGGGAGTATTGCATCATGAGTTATCTCAGATCCCCACCCCCACCCCCAACTTACCTGTCAGCAAATACTACTGTGTCTGGTGTACCTGGACTCTAGGGAGAGTCTTGGCCAACTCTGAGACTTGGCCACTGTGTGCAGAGTATTTTAAGTAATCTCATTCAATCCATAAAAACCACCCACAGTGTTGGGGATTGCTAATCTCTTTTTACACATGAGGAAATGAGGTTCTAAGAGGAAGAGTAACTTGCCCAAAGTCACACAACTGTTGAGCAGAAGTGGGTCATTTACATCCAAAACCTTTCCCCCAAACCACACTGCCTCCCTAGGAGAAAGATCTGTGCACCCGCCGTTCTTGTCAGACAGGAAAGCGCTCCCTGTCAAATTCTGTAGAGTGTCTGCTCTCACACCCATGGAGCAACTGGAACAGGCATGGACTGTGACCTGCATCTCCCCACACCTCCAACCGATGTCAACACCTCCTGTTGAGCAGAATGCAACATTTGATATTCTGCCAGGAGGTTCGTTCCAGAGCTGCAAATAGAAGCAGTCAATTCTTCTTCCCTTTCCAAAATGGAAATATCAATCAGCCCCTTTGAAAATGGACTACCTAAGTTGATTTTGATTGTAGGTGACGCAGCCAACCTCAGAGCTGGGGATTTTCAAAATGTCATTGGCCAACTATTATAGATGGCCTTGGATTTTGTCCTTGAGGGTGTGAGCATAGCACAGGAAAATATCTTCTCTCAGGGAGTGGGGCTTTTAAAGTTCATTTGTTAGGGGCTTAGATTTGAGCTGTGCATTGCCACCTTTATGTTCTCTTTCTCTCATCATCTTGTCTCATAGTTGCAGCTACTGAACTTGACCTATGATCATTAATTGGGTTTTTGATCTGATCTCTTTCATTCAGTTGGTTAAGGGGGAAATCAGCTTTGCTAATGACTTTCTGGAGACAAAGTAAATCCAGCTGCATCTGAGACGGCTTTGAGGTCCAATATATTTAGTCCCTTCATTTGATGTAACACAGAGTGCTGTTCAAGGTCACCCACATGGTGGTAGAACAGGGGCGGGAAACCCAGTTTCTGCCTCTTGAGTCTCATCCCACCTCACAAAGCACCTTCAGATCTCTTGCACGGGGAAGGGAGGCTTAGCAGATAGAGAGACTCATCTGAGGTCCCATGGCTAGTCAGTGGAGAAGTTGGAATTAGAACTCAGGCCTGCATTGGACTGGATTCCCTAAGTGATTGCAGGCACATCCTTTTTTTTTTTTTTTATAAACTCAGTTATGTCTTGAATGTACTCAGAATACTAGCTGTTTAAAATTTCCCACTGTGACTGTAATGCAAATAATTATGTCTAATTTGTATATTGTTTGGCAAGGATGAGGGACAGATTTTTCACCATTGGGATTTCCTAAGAATTACTTTACTTTTTTTCACCCCCACCCCATTCCTGTATGCAAGTCTAACCCTGGCTGGCTTAGGACCCCTGCCCCATCACTGTCTATTTTCTTTGGCCATCAGAGCCTTGGAGTTTACAGGGCAGAGGCCATGACATTAGAGAACTTGTTTTAAAAACACCAGCTATCAGAACCCCACATTTCAATTTCCTTTTGGGGAGAGGAAGGCCATGTAAGAAAATGGGTGCACATCTGCAGAGGGATTTCAGAGTATTTCTCAGCAATAGGCTCCCCACCACCACCTGCTCCAACCTAGGCTGAGGAGACAGCAGGTGGACTGTGCTCTAAGTTTCAGGGGACAGCCACGGACTGAATGGGGCTTCCAAGACTTCTCACAAGAAGAGTCCAGACATCCCGTGCTTCTCTAAAAGGTGCTGGGTTCAGTGGTTCCACGAGAGACTGGAGGTGAAGCTGGTGCCGAATCTAAGTGACCACAGCTAGGAGTGGAAGGCAGTGGCACACTGGCCTCTTTCTCTTTACATCATGGAACGTATTTGCTGGAGCCCTCGTGAGGGCCACTGAAGCATCTGGCTCTCATTCAGGTTCCTAACGTGTTGCACTACTGAATACTCTTGAATCTATTGTGCTCCTTTTGTTTACACCAGCAGTGAATAGAGTAATAAGAACATGTTCTATGCAGTGGCTTGATGCTTAGTGGGTAGTTAAAAAGCTTTCCTGGGCAGGGACTAAAAAGTAGCCGAGGAGTCACAAGGTTGCTGTCTCTCTCCTTCCCCTTCTGGGTCTCTGCTGTCCTCTGCAGCCACCACAGGGCTAGGTTGTTGAATGAGCCCCTGGTTTCTCCATATAAATGTGGTGACTTATTTGTGATTCTGAGTCTAATCCCAGGTTAAGAAACAAAACAAGACCAGGCATGGTAGCTCACACCTGTAATCCCAACACTTTGGGAGGCCAGGATGACTCAAAAATAGCTAGCTAGCAGGCTAGATAGAAAAAGAACACACAAACAAACAAGAAACAAGATGAAAGCTCATGACCGGACCCCCCTCCTTTGCTCGCCTCCTTCTCTTAGAGGCACCTAGACGTCTTTAGTGTTCTGTGCCCTGTGCCTTGCCCAGGGGAGGGAGAAGTTGCTAGCAATTTTGGCTTTCTGTTTGCTGCCTGGTGCTTTCACAGTACTTCATTTGCTCTTGTTGTTTTGTTTTTTAACCAAAACCGCATTTTGTTTGGTTGTTATTGTCAAATATATATTTATTGTGTTTTACAAACATGAGTATATATGTATGTATATATATAAAACCAAACTTATATATAAAAAAGTCAAGGCATGTATACTAGATATTTTAAAGAGTTATTTATCAAGGGAAAAAGATGTGTGTTATAAAGTAAACAGAGTCTATATTTTATATAATGTAGATAGTAAAACGTAGCTTATAAATTATAGGAGGTTTTGGTTTTCTTTTTTATTATTAAAGCAAAAAAAAAAAAAAAAGAAGGAAAAAAAAGGACAATGAATGCAACTGTTTTTAGTGTTTTAAAGGCCAAACTACTGTGGGAGTGGAGAGGCAGTCCTCCTGGCCAGGCCCTCCAGCACCTCAGCGTCTGCCGTTCCAGGGTCCGGAAATTGGCGCCCATTGTTACCTCTGGGATGCTGGGGCCGGTGGTGAGCGTCACTCGGCCTGCTGGCATGTGCTGCCCCAACATGGCTGCTAGCTGTTCTCCATGATTTGCATTGGTGGAATAAAGAACAGAAATGACAAATAAAGAGTTCAAAGAAAATCCAAAATACAGTTCTTTGCCTGTTTTCTACACCCAGCTTGTGGGGTCTGAAGCATGAATGAGTGCATCTGAGGTGGGGTGTGGGGTGTGTGTGTGTGTGCGCGTGCTGGGGGAAGCTGTTCACAAGTCAGCATCCATGAAGCTGAGCAGTGGAAATCCATGGATTTTCTGATTTTGATTGCAAATGAACACATGAGAACTGGAGGTGCCTCCAAGCCATCTGCCTCAAACCCTCATTTTGGAAATGTGGAAATGAAAGGGACATAACCAACCTGAGCTCCCTCGTATGTGCATGTGTATCAGCCTACCTAGAGCAGACAAGACGGTGAGAACACAGATTTTACACTGGGAGAGAAAATTTTAGAATTCTTTATTATTTTAATATTGTAGCCTAATACCTCACACCAAGCACTGAAAGACACTTTCTAACAGGTTCACTTGGTAATTTAAAAGAGCTTTTTGCAGCCAGGCACGGTGGTGCATGCCTGTAGTTCCAGCTACTCAGGAACCTGAGGTGGAAGGATTGCCTGAGCCCAGGAGGTCAAGGCTGTTTGATCATACCACTGTACTCCAGCCTGAGCAACAGAGTAAGACCCCCAACTCAAAAAAGAACCAGAGCATCTTGCTTACTTCTTTCTCAGCAGTACTTAAGGTCAACCATCTTGTGCTGAACTCAGCCTAATATCAGATATGGACAACATGGAGTGTCTTAAAGAAGGGCTGGTCATTCCTTTCCACCCTCTGTTGCATCTTAGAAAAAGCACACAAGTGTTTCTTCTGGCCCATCCTTTCCCTTTACTTTAGAAAAAATGAAAAATAATGCTATAAAAATAATGCTATAAAACCCGAGATCTCATTATTCACTCCTTCATGAACAGGTTCTGATATTAATGCATTCAGAAGGCAGTCCATCCATAAGATAATGAAATTGCAGCAGACACCCATGTTCACATAGATTCTTACCTTAAACATAATATTTTCATACGGTATGATTTTGAAGTGAATCTAAGAACAGTTATAAATAACGCTATAAAGGAGAGTGCTTTGTTAAAACTAAAAGCACCATCTGATACTGTAAAGTATCATTGTAATATCCAGTTCTCTAAAGCTTCTTTCAGCAAAGTGATCTGGGAACTAACACTCAAGGGAAGATGAAACTCTCCCAAGCATGTACATAAATTTTTAATCTAGGAGCTAGTTGTTCCTTCACAGGTTTTGGATTCTCTTTGTGATGCTGGTTTCTCTCAATCTGGGCCCATTTCTTGCCTTGTAAACCTGAGTTTATACTGCTGTCTGCTAAATCACAGGATTTGATCAGTGTTGCCTTCATAGCCTCTGAACTATTGCTTGAAAAGAGCAGCATAGCAAGTCCTTCAGAGTGCTCCTTACTGGTCAAATGAAGAGATGTCTATGTGCCCCCCTATCCCCCAGACCCATTTTTCAGTTTCACTTGCTGCGTCTTTTATCTTGTGCATTTGTTGCACCTGTTGTGACAACTCTGGGTGATTCATTCTGAAAAATAAAACGACTGCTAACGTGGATATGAGAATAAATTACGTGTATGCAAAGCATGTGGAATTCTGCATAAAAATGAAGACAAAAGCAACTTCACCTCACTCTCAGTGGTAGGCTCCTGTTTTGTTGACACATTTACCTTTTTTTTTTTTTGCTTAACAGAAAAGATCCCTCAGCCCAAATACTCCTAGGCCTTGCCCCCAGCCCCTACATGCATTTGGCAGTAGCAATGGCCCCTGCTGGGAAGTTGTCCACTGAGTCTAGATGACACATCACCTCATAGAGTTTGCCCCAAGTCATTGTCAGATAGACAGTTTTACAGCTGACTTGGGCCAAGACCACCACCAAAAAAAAGCTGATCCAAATTGAAACCATTCAAAAGCCTCTGCCTTGTTCATTCAAGTTCAGGCTTCGTTTTGAATCCTATCTCTGAGTCTAGCATTGCTGTGGTGCCACACAACTCTGCAAAAGGAACTCCAGTATATGCAAGCTGGCTGTTGGGCTTCCTCTAAAATGTCATCTCATTATAGGAACACCTTTTATCTCCTAATTCTACACAGTTTCTGATCACCTTGGATCAAACCAAACTCACTCCCTTTAGCCATGAGTGACAATGAAAGCTTAAATAATTTTTAGACGCTCTTCTGATTCATTTCTTGGTCCCTGATGGGGCTCAATCCTAGAACAACAGTCCTAAAAGCACATGTGTGAATGCTCCGTTGTTGCTGACCCACTCATCATTGGCCACAGTCCCCTGGGAAGGAGGACACCCTGAGAGGCTGCCCTAATAAGGCCTGGGTGGCTGCAGCTGATGTGCTAATCATGTACACAGACACCACAGGTTTAGGCTCAGTCTTGATCTCCCCCATGTCACGAACTTCCTTGTAGACAGAACTGAAGGCCGAGGCTCCCTTGGGAATGTGAGTCGCTCCAGACTCTGGAAGCAAAGACAAATCAGGCATGAGACCTTGGGAGACTCCGGGGAGGGGAGCAGGGCCAGGGCCCTCATTTTCTCGGCCTCCTGCTGCTGCTTGAAGGGGACATAGGTCCTGACAGATGATGCTGACTCTCAGTGGTCTCGGGCGATCAGGACTTGACAAGCCGTTTCCCACCATGAAGAAGAGGACAGAGCTAGCCTAGGAACAGCAGCCGTTGTTGGCTGTGAAGTGCTAAAGCTCAACATCTCACCCAGGAAGCAGGAGAAAGGGAAGGGATGGGCGGGGGGAAGAGAGGAAGAAGCTAGTGGTAATGGGATCGCAAGGAGAGGAAAGGGCAGTTGTAAAAGTGACAGTTCACGCCAAGGGTAAAGTCGATGAAGGGGAAAGAAAGACAGAAGGTCAGAGAGCGATGCACTTAAGATAAGGAAGTTTGTGTGGATAAGTAAATGTTGCATGAGATGTCTGAAATAGGGTTTTCTGTGGTGACAGGCCTCATATGCGCTCTGGGAACAGGTTGAATGAGGAGGAGGATGACAGATCAGAAGGAACGAGGGAGGAATTCTCACAGGAACTTTCAGAAGCCTGGCAGATTCACTCCTAGAGCTAATCAAAGCTATCAGACTTTGGCATTTCCTGTAAATGCTTTAACACCAACCACTGTGTTAAGTGAGCACCACCCCCGAGGCCCCAAGTGCACCTTGGATCTCCTTGTCCTTTCCTGGTGCTTTTTCAATCTGCAAACCCCCAGAACCTGACATCTTCAAGGATTCAACATCTGGCATCTCACCCTGTCTGTTAGTCCCCACCTGGGTCCCCTTGGACACACTCTCCACTCAGGAATCTGCCACTTAGCATTTCTTTGGCACACACAGGACTTGTTACCCCTCCTCAGCTTTCAGAAACCTGCCTGCTAGGCCGTCACTCCTATCTGCTTTCTCCTCCTGCGGCACAGCTTTTCTGAAGAAAATCCCAGATAAGCAGGCATGGCTAGAGGAAGTGGATGCTCACCTGCTCTGTCCTGCCTCAGCCCTTGTCTCTTGGACTCCCTGGTTCAGTCCTTAGTCCTCAGATCACTTCTGGATCTTCTCTCTCCCTGGGTTGCCTGTAACATCGGGTTTCTCCCTCACCTGCTCACAATAACCCCTTGCTTTCATTCATTCATTCATTCATTCATTCTCACTGAGGCCATCTGAAGAAAGCTTTCCTGTCTGTTTTCCCGACCATCTAATATATGCTGCGATATGGTTTGGA